CCCTCCCCCAACAAACTTACATATGAACAGAAGCTGGACTATCATCTCTCTGGAAGGTTCCTTCACTTCCAATGGTCTCTCTGCGTTTTCCTGCTCTATCTTTGTACTTTGGATTCTTCACTGCTTTATTGTCTTCATACTCTGTGTTCTTTATAAGCAGATTAAATTCCATCAAGGCAAAGAAAGCAGGCTTTAAATTCTTTATTTTTGATAACTTCACTGCTTCCCTCCAAAAGTAAGGCAGCTTCAGCCTATTTCGTTAATTCTAAATCTTGTAACAAAAAACTATAGTTCTCATTTAGCAGTTTTTTACCTTACAGCCATACCTTGTAAGGTATGTTATTGCCATCATCACATAATAATGTAATATTGCCGAATTCATTAATTTCACAGAGGCTGTAAATAAATTAACAGATTCTCTTGAATCTTCTCTTGGTATGAATAATCAATCTCTCCGTATTAGCAGAAAACCATATGGACATGCCACTGGCTTTTTGTTTAAACATTTAGACTGTTCCTCAGCAGCTATTTCTTCAGAATAGATGACAGAACTAAGCACGTGAATAGATTCTGTATCGATATTCTTTTGGTAGCTGAAGAATTTGAGAGAAACAATGTTTCCTACACCAATACTTATTACAAGTGCTAGCTGTAACCCCATAATCTCTAAAACAGAAGTAACTTGAATATTTATGTACTATATTGCCCGTACATTCATGTTGGCATTCTTCTATGGCAAAGCAGACTTAAAAACTTTTAAAAAGTCCCTCTTCCTTCCGCCATTTTTTCAGTTGCTCATTATTTTTCGTTTCCAAATAAAAGATAGCACTGCAATTTAGTGCAAACTTAATGTGCAGGAATAAAAATAGAAATGCCTTAAGAAATCTTAACCTCAAAAGGATGAGGAATCTTGTACACATTGGAATGGATTTTCTTTTCCTTTTAACAGAACCTTCATGCCCTGTTACCATTATCTCTCTCTGTAGAGGTTTGTAAATAATCATTATTTAGTGTACAAAAGACAAGTTTGAGTTAAACTACCAGGCTCAAGTTTGAGTGCATTTGAAAACTTTCCTTATTCACTGAAGTCTATAGCTTAAAATAGGAATCACAAAGTAGATGGAGACTTCAAACACTTAATCAACTTCTACTGTAAACTCACCTGTAAACCATATTTTACCCGTATTTGTTTTAAAGCTTTTCTTCTGACTAACTCTCTCTCTTCTTTGCTAAGTGCTGGGCAAACTAAAAGGAAGAACACAGGATTGAACTTCTAATTAATAACGTAACAATGTTTTGAAACATAAGACAACTGAGAGAAATTTTGTTCTAGATTTATTACACACAGACACACATACCAAGAAGAAAATACATCATTATGTATGGTAGAACTATTCCCAGTTGACAAGAAAATTGTAAGAAAACTGAAGTAATTACTATATTTATAAAGTAAAGAGCTATAATAAAAAACATATCCCATGATAACATGACTAACCAGAAGATTCCTTTTTTCTGTCCAGGCGAAGATGTGCTCTGACTTGTCCTGGTTCACATCCATCACAAGTATCACTGCCAGGATGTATGTGAAAAGAAAGCACAGTTTCACCAATCTTCACTTCATCTCCATGCTCCAAGATGTAGGGATCACATTTTATTTTAGGCTACAGAAACAGAAAGTTTTGGCAGCCATGTTAATTAGTTACTAATGAAGGGCATGAACTCTTTCATGAATACTGCTCATAATTTAGTAATTCAGTTTGGTCTCACAAATGCAGGCAAGTATTTTACTACAGTGGGTATTTCACTCTAGCGACTGCAACCATAATGGATTTTTCCTAATATAAACCAAACATGAAATATTGTAAGTGGCCCTAAAACCAGAAGGGAACCAAGAAAGAGACTGATATATGAAAGAAGCCACATAATGACCTTGTTTGCGATTTGCCATAACGTATTTTAAATGACCACAACTATAGTTTTCTGCAATGTACACAGCATTGTAACAACAGGTACTCACCTGGAGAATCTGATTTCCATTAACAACTGTTCCATTCTGACTGCCTTGATCCACAAGAACGTAATTTTGCAAATCGTGGTCAAAATATACTTCTGCATGGAACTGATAAATAGAAGCCTAAGTGAAATGTTCTTATTAAGCAAATACTTCACAATTTATATGCTATTTTAAAGTAGTATTTCAGAACATATTTTGAGGCCTTTTAACTGAGTGGCTCTGGTACTCTAACTTAATTAGAGTATTCCACACTTCATGATTTCATCCATGTGAAATGTAAATGAACGGGCCACAAAGCATGAGCTAAAGTATACTATTAGTAATATAACTATTTTGACCATAAACCGATGAAAAAGTATATACTTCCATTGCGGCAAGTATGCTTTACTTAACGAACTGCAAGATTCAGTAATACAGCATTTTTAACTGTTCTTAAAAACAAGGGTTTTTTTTTCTTGTAAGGTATGTTACAGCACTTTCAATTTTTCTCTTTCAATTAAAAAAAAAATCTGATCTCATTCTACAGCTTCAGGTTACTTGGTCTTTCGTATCTGAAATAGCTCCCTAAATGCCATGCTTTTGTAAATTTCACATAATTCACCTTCACCTGCATTTTAATGCCCAGGACACAATGACTAGCCATCGTTTGCTGTTCCTTTTATATCCTCTCTGATATTGAGACTAACAATCTTATTTTTTTGTTTGTTTTGTTGTTGCAATTCTATATAGGTATTGCTCCCAAGCACACACAGAACAGAGAAAACACAAGTCCTGGCCAAACTCACGACGATATACACTACCTCCAAAAATGGCCACTGAGCAAACCAAAATTTCAACTTCTGCAGCCTACTAAGACCAGTAAAAACCAGAAGTCTAAAAAAGTGACAGTTTCAAATTTGACAAGCAAAGATCCCTTTTGCTATAGTGGAGAAAAAAACCAAGAATCAATCTGGGATGAAAGTGTTATTTAAAACCATACCCTTCCTTATCTTTGAGCAATAGCAGTTGCTACATTCAGTAATAAAAAAAAAATCAAAATAATATTTTGTAGATTGGCTAGCATTTACAACAGGAATACTCCCATAATGGCAGAAAGGTTGACTAGCTCATTCAATAGGTAATTTAATTTCTACCTCTGTTTCATTGAATAGGATGAACCCAAACTTCTTCTAAAGATTCTAAGTCTGCAGAGTGTAGTGGTGTTTTTTTAAATCTAACTTTACACTCAAGAAAAGCAAATGCCAAAGTGGTCCACAGCTATCAACTATGAATAGTGAAGAAAACAAACTGGTAGTTAACTTTTTGTTTCTACAGAGATGCCATTTATCTTCTTCCTGCCTTTGACTCCTTATCTGCAAAGTGAAATAACTTCTTATATAAACAGTTAGGTACCCGTGAAGTACTAAAATGGTAATGTTACAGAAAAATAAAAGCCATTTGGCTTCTTTATGCACCCAATTTCAAATACATGCCTGAAAAAGTCATTAATAGCAGGGAAAGATTTGTTCTGGAAATTGTTCAGCATGAAATACGGTACATGGCTGATTAATCAGAACTATCATCTGGAACAGACATAGTAAAGCATATTTCAGATACTTGCATTTGCAGATGTTTTTATAATTTTTTTTTTTGTTTGGATGACATGTCTTCGTCAATCTACATTTTCTTTTATTAGAAGTGCTGTATTTATGGTCTGTGTTAAAGTAGTTAGCAAAACAGAGCACACAATTTATCTTTAATCTTTCTTAAGCAGAAGAAAAATTTTCCATTACAATCTGTCACTGAAAGAAATTCTGTTAAATTTTCGAACTCCCTGTACATCACTTACATATTTATACAGTTGCCTTGAAGAAAAATAAAACAAAACCTGTTGCTCTAAGCTCAACTGCAAGGTTTGGATTACTTTATGACAAAGTTCTAACTAGCTGACATCAACAGTTTATATACCATTAATACTTAAGAGAGTAGTAAGTTTTCCTCAAGTTCAATAACTAAGAAATTCAAGATTCAAAGTATGATTTTTTTTTTACTGTGCTTTACACTGTGGATTAGTAGAACTCAAAGCCTTAGAAATCACACTGCTGTTTGCATTAAATTCCCATTCAGCAAAATACTGTATGTTTTCCTTTTTCTAACTTCAAATGTGGCTAAACCACATCTCATTCTAAAAGTTCTTTAAAAAAATAACAACGTAAGATTTTGCAAAATTTAAAGCCATGAAATCTAAAGCTTTATTCGTACGCTGATCTACCTTTCAGCAGACAGAAACAAGAGTTACCTTACTGACTCCAACTTCAGGAATCTGAAGTGTGTGTCCAACATCTTTTTCTCTGGAAAGGCAAGTTGATATATAAATCAAAACAAAGTAGAAATAGGTCTAATAAGTGGCTTACAAAAGGTGTATTTCAGTTGAACCTTAATACCATGTTTCTCTTCTGAGCTATTAGGGAGCTGTACAGATGTAAAATACTGTGTTGCAATATACACAACGTAAAGACTTGCTTCACATCCGTTCTTCCATCTATAAACTATACACAGTAGGCAATGAATATATGATAAAGCTGTACTTTTAAATTTTTACCTATAAACCTGACATTCCTATCTGAACTTTTATTCTCATACAAGGCCTGGAAATAATAGTCTGAACTCTGCATCCTTCAAGCTCTTCAATGCATCTTGGCATCAGTCTTCAATGCTGAAGTTGAATTCTTGATAGCATTAGGCAGGTAATACAAGCAACGAAAGAGTATAGTATTCTTTTTTTTTTTTTTTGTCAAAAACACTGCAGTAGGAGGAAGAGATTAGTTTCTTATACTAGGGGATGAAGAAGCAATGCAGCTAGCAAAGGACCTATATGCAAATTGCAAGCAGAATTGTCATCGGTTAATCTTCACATAAATGTACCTAGAAAACGCCACTTGTAAGAGCAAATCAAAACACATCTATCGGCATTAGATAGAAGCAGCTGAAAAGGAGTGAGGTTTTCAGTAAGCATGGAAAAAAGCATTAATTCATCATTAAATTAATCATCCACAATGAACAAACCAGATTTTTTTTTTTTTTTTAAAATATTAGAACTGGAAGAATGCATACAGGCTAGCACAAAACCCAACTTACTATTTAAAAATGATGAACCAACCCTACTGGAATTTGAATGTGTGAGGAAGTCCAGGATATGCTTCCTTGTGATCCTGAATTTCTGAAGTGTATTGTTCCATTTCTGAAAAAGTTACCTTAGTGGCCCAGAAATGAAGTTTATTTACTTTCTAGAAAACAACAGTTTCCAAGAATGACTTGCAGTTATGCTACCATTAGGACTTAGACACAAGATCAAGTTATCACCAACAAATTTTCATGACTGCTGAGCTACATTAACTGTGTTTGCTGTTTACCACAGCAAGCATGACATTATGCGACATGACTTAAATTTCTTACTGTGAGATAACCTAACTTGGAGTACCTCACAACTGCTGCACACTAGGACGACAAGCATGAAGGGTAGGGACAAGCAATCCTGAAGTAGCTTCCACAGCTTTCAAAGCAAGGTACAGTTTCAGATATATATAAACAAATTGCATTCAGTTTTACCTTCCGATTGTAGCAGGTTTCACAGCTGTGATAATATAAAGTGATCCAGTCTGTAGAACTGGCGATCTTATTACAATTACTCTGATACAAGGAGGCCAGATCTTTTCTTCATCTATAATTACAAAAAAAACCCCCAACACTGTTACTACCAACAAATTAGTTTTACCCCTATAGTCCATAGCTTTCAAACAACTGATAAACATTCGGCCATTATCTGGCTGAATCCTATGCAACTTTCAGAAAAAGAAATGTATAAGCACATCTGAGAGAAAACTTTGATGAAACTACTATTTCAAAGGGTTTCTGACTACACACTAAAGTATTAAAAATGTTTTCCTAATTCTGGTTATTTACTTTACACAGCTGATTAGTTATACAGCAATGAAGTATAAATACATTCACAGAATTTACTAGCATATTATACATTTATGGACCACTAGTCATAACAGATCAGAATACAATTTTACTTTGAGAAAAGGCAGCGCCTTTTTGTTCATCACATTACAAACCTAATGCATATAGAACTTTATATTTAATAATTTCTGTCAAATGTATTTTTATTAGCACTATGCACCAGTACAGATAAGAAAAAATAATAGATGAGCCTACAGTTGTATATGCTGTTTTGCCTCAGTATCTGTTAAGTAATTATATTCTAATAGCTGTGTTCTGTTCCTCGGTGTACATTTGCAGAAACAGTCTGCAATGATGTCAGCTAGGAATAGACATGGTAAGATGGGAAGACACTAGCTCAAAAGGTACTAGGGGGAGAGAAACTGTCTCAGTTTTTATTACTCCAGCATTACTGCAGAATTGATTATTAGAAAATAGTAAAGAATGCCATTAATCACTCAGAATCTGAGTACTTGAGTATGTAAATTAATGAAAACAGAGGAAACAAACTATTTAACTGTGAGCAGGGCACAGGCTACAGTACAGACTTCTATAGATTGTATTTCATTCTGTGAGTTGGAATATCCTTTGCATATACATAGTTCCAATTGGTTGCATTAAGCTTCTCACAGGTTCCTTTTTTTTTTTATTCAAGAGACAATTCAATTCTTGAGGAGGTCTTAAGGACCTAGGAGAACACTTTCTTTGGTACAGAACAGCATACAGGTTTCCTCTCTATACCCACTTCTTACATGTTACCACTGGAATACACAAAAACCAGGATTTCAAATTGTACTGGGTACTCCATATTCATCCTTTTCACCACAGTGGATTCATCTTACATTGAATTATACATGATTGTTTAGGAACAGCACAGAAATATTATACATTAATTGAAGAAAGTTCATACACAGAATTACTGGGAGGTCTGTACTAGAATCTCTATTTTAGCAATAGACTTTCTTTTCTCCTAACCTAAATTCTTCCTATCCTAACCTAAATACATCTTATTCTACCACTGAGGTTTCTACACAAGCACAGGAACTTATACCTCTAAACAGCTTTCACAAAAACACCACTACTTACTTCTGGCTACTTTCAAGTTAAGAGAAGGAAACAAATACTGGTAACATATAGCACTTTTTAATTGAAAGTATCTCAAGTCACATGCTTCCCCCCCGCCCCCCAATTATCCAAACTTTTTTCTTGTAGTTTGTTCTTAATGGGCTCCTGGAAAAATATAGTAATATCATACATAAAAGCCACAATAATTCACCTTCATCTTCTGAGTCTTCTGAATCAGCAGTTTCTTCACTTGTTACTTCATCCTCGCTGCTGTAGGCTTCGCACTCAGTATCTGTAATTTCACCTTCTTCTGGCTCACTCTCTGTGTCTACTGTTCTACTGTCATCTGTATATGCTGCAGTATCTGGTGTACTTTTACATGAATGTGAATTTATACTGTCTGTAGAAATTGATTCTTTGGCTGTTAAACTGTTTTGTGTTTTTGTGTCCATTTTAGTCTTCTTTCTTACATTTGGAGACTCTTCTTCTTCAGTAGAACTTACTTGCTCAGTAGTGGAAAAGCAATTCATACTGTTAGATGATTTCTGCTCTTCTGTGTCCAGATCCTGGAGGGGAGTTATAGAATGTTACATTCTTTATAGATCGAGTTATTCTAAAGTCTGCTATCAGCCTGGAAGTAAATTCTTCACTAGGAAGAATTATTTTTACAACTATTAAGAAATGGTTAAATTTCCAGAAAGTTTAGCGCATGCAGTCAACAGAACATTTCAGTAGAAATATTTTCACATCCTATTAGACATGACTGAGACCATCTTGTATTTGGGAAAGTGTGACTGCACTCCTCTTCTAAACTTCACTTATTCCTTCCTCTTTTCTCACACAAAACTTAAGATCCTTGTCCTCAGTTTCAAACTTGTTCAACAGCATCTTGAATATTTTCCAGTTTTGCTTTTATGACACTTACTTCTGTCCCTCTCTTACTCAATTCTTGTAACTTGTTTAAAAGTTCTTTAATTGATCTTCATCATATCTTCCTCCTGTTTTTGTCTTCTCATTTTTTTCCAGAATGGTCCAGAATATCTGGAATGCCCACCCACGCTCACCTAATGACCTGCTCTTTCTCCTTTCAAAATTGCAACTTTAACAAAGCCTTTCATCAAGATACTGTAGAGAACTTAAGTTTAATTTATGCTATGTGCAACAGTTCTACTGAGAATCCATTTTCTACTGCAACAGATTTCTCCATTGAATACCAGACAGATTAGATCATTGCAGGTTCTTCCATTGCCAGTTGATTTTATCAGCAGAAAAAAGACCATCAACATTTTTTTAACCGAGAAATCTAAAGTTTCAGATTAATTTTTCTAGAGTACCTTGAAAATATAATTCTTAATCTAGTAGCCCTGATGACCATCTTAAAAGAAATAATAATTAAAAAAAAAAGAACACAAATGGCTTTAAAAGATAAATTAAAAAAAAAAATTCAGATTGTAAGTTATTTGCCATCTCAGATTCAGAATGAATGCATTCAATTGCCCTGAATTGTACCAAATATTGCAACACAGCAGTTAAAATAAAAAACATCCTTGACTTTTTTCATAAGTTTTTGTATAGAGCATTTTACATTTCAAGATACATGAATTAATGTGAACGTTATCATCATGGAAATTAAAGCCCTTTCACTTTTCAGAATTGTAAAAACTCAGTGGCACAGCTGTAAGACAAACACAAGAACTTCAGCCCAGCAGTCAAGCTGTCAGATAGGACTTTACAGTGTACTTTCGAAACACTTTCAATAAGACAGCAGATTCTCAGGAATAATCAGCAAATTTCAAAAGACCTCAGGCTTTAACTGAAGGACTATCAGTTTGTTTAGGGTTTCTCCCTAATGCACTACCCCTCCTCCCTGAATCTTCTAACTACTGGAACTAGGAAGGAAGAGTATCGCAAGGTCACTGCCTAATGTTGTTTATTTTAAATAAGAGACATAGTAATCCTGCCAAAAGTAAGACTATACAGTTCATACATGTCAGACACATTAATTCCATTAGAAATCTTTTTGGCAAATCTGATTATCGCTTTAATGAATGATCTTTTCCAGTGTATTTATCTTTATTTACGTTTGGTATGGATATTACATCAATACCCCACATACCAAGGTGCTCTGCAATCCTAATTGTATTTCTTCCCATGATACTGTGAGCTACCAAAGTTTTAGTAATCTAACCTGAAAACAGAGAAACTAATAGTCTGCTCAAATCAGAACTGAGGCAAAGCAACTGATGACTGTGATGCACAGATGCCCAAGTATAATGCTCCAACCACTCAGCTCTTTCTCCACAGTGAACCCAGTGATACTTCTTTTTGGCATCACTTCAGATATTCTAAATTAGAAAATAAAGAGATGCTGTTTCAATGCCTAGGTGCTAAAGAGTAGACTCTCTGATCTGGGTTGAAAACAGGAATTTTAAAAAACAGTCTTACAGACAGACCAAGGATTCTGTAAATACATTCTGCCAATATGACCATTAAGCCTGTTCTCAGCAGTTTCTGTATTTTTTCCACCATTACTACAATCAACTGTTAAGAAAGCAAATAAACTAAACAGTTCTGTTAAGTAATGGTAAAAAATGTAATCTTTGCATTTAGAAATCCTTGTACAAAACCGAGGATTTTAAAATTGCATTCCTAGAGTATATGTATTTTGAGCCCTTTATGATTTCACAGATTTGTACTAAAATGCACATCTTGACAATGCCTAAACATTAAGATGAATGTATTCTTAAAGCATTTGAGGGGGTCTTTACTTATGCTGAAGAAATCCTTTTCCATTACATATAACTACTAGTACTAACATAAAACATATGTAGCATGCATGAAAGTGTAGCTATGCAAACAGGACCTAATACCTTGCCTCCAACCAGCCATTGCTTAAAAAACAGGAACCAGCAATAAACAGCATATTCAGTAAATATCATCATGAATAACTTAACAAATAGTAGCAATGCACTTCATTTCTCAATGGCAGGATATTTAACTCTTCATCCCAAACTCATGATACAACACACAAAGTATGCAAGTACATGCTTATTATAACCATGTTTGTTACACCATGATACTAGGAACATACATTCTTTGTATGTTGCTTTGCCTAATATATCTAAATAGTCATAGACCTACCCCAACAGTCATATGTTGGATATGGATTGCCTCTATGTGATTCAGCTTTGAAAAACTTTTTATCTACTGGGTATCACTACATGATCTCTGGCTTTTCTCTCACTAAGCATGAGTAAAGTTGAAAGGTGGGATGAATTTGATCCATAATAAACTATTTCTTAACTAAAGGGCTGAGTCAGTTCATATTTCTGCATCCTGACAAAGACAGCCAAAGGTGCGAGTGAAATCAGGATTTTTTTATGTATCTCATGAGGAGTGATCTTATAGGAATTACAAATCACATTCATGTGACTGGAATTGATGGTTTTGCTTTACGAAGAATAGGTCACAAACTACTGATTACAACGACCTTCTGAAGTGCAGATTGGCTTACTTATAATATATACATGAATGATCATAGTAACTGATGTGTTTTTAATGAAAATTTCAAAATACTTTAAGCATTTAACTACACTTTTTGCTCTACTGTGACAAAGCAAGATATTTTGTCTTTCAAAACTTCACATTTTTCTGTATTATGCCTGATCAACATGCATGTTCATGCAATTCTTCAGCATGCCTACAAATTAGAACTTAAAAATTACCGTGAGCATAATTTGCTTAATTCTAAGAAATGCACTGTTTAAACTGTATTGTTTTCTAAATCAATTTTACACAAAACATACAAGTATGTACAAATACAACTTTTCAGAAATGCATAGTCTGTTGCTTCTTGGTTTGCTAGAAGTTCCGTAGGTGACTTAATGGAATCATTAAGCGCCCTCATCTAAAGGGCTGAATGTTAGATCTTTAGCACTGATTCTGTTAATTTGAAATATTAATCTGAAATTCAGTATTTTACTACAGAAACATTTTCAAACAGTGTAAAATAGCTCTTTCATTCAGATGACTAAGCTTTCACTTGCTAAAACTGTTTCACAAGTACTTCTGCCTTCCACCCTACACAATACTCGAATTTCCAATGCAAAAAATCTAAGTAAAAGCCAGAAAAAGAGTAAAGCTCCTCCTATATCATAAAGAAGCCATTTTATACACTGGTGGACAGCTCTGAAATACAGGAAACATAAATTTGCCCTACCTAAAGAACACGCAGTTTGTTTAGTCAGGACACCCTATGTTAATACAGTGATGCTAAATATGTCTCTTCCCAAATATTCTAGAATGCCATCAAAGTTTTCTTCAGATGTTTTACTTATACAGTGTTTCAAATATATTTCAAAGTTACTTTGTAGATTAACTGATTTTGATCAAATAGCTTAAAAAAAATTTATTAATTCCTTCAGAAAAATAGGTATCCAAACATGAACTACCAGATATTATTTTTCCTTTAATAAAAATATCAAGGTTAAAGGTAAACATCCACGGACTAATGTGTTTGGTGTCTCAACTCTACCTTCACCAGAAGCTGCCAATCCAAAAGAAGAAATCTTCAGATTAGCCATGGTTTCTGTCAACTGACGTACCTAAAGATGGGATGAATATCAGCAAAAAGTAAACTACACGTGATAAAAAAAATAAAAATCACTGCTTCAAGAGTTCTATGGGAAATACTACTACAAAAGCCTTATCTCTCCTACAGAAGTATCTAGGATGCATCTCTAATGGAAAAGAATAGGACAGAAGTTAATTTTGAGCACCACGCTGAAATAAAATAAAACTATTAGACAGTAGTTTAAAACTAAACTGTAAAAATAATTTCTGGGAAAAAAAGGCGTATGGCAGACCCTGCATCTAAATTTTCTGACAGCCCCAATCCAGCAAGTAGAGCTACATGATCGCTACTGCGCACCGTCTATTCTCCAACCTGTATGGAAGCATTGATCTAGATATTGGGCCAGGGATCACCTTATCATTGATGCCACCTTGTGATTTGTTTTATGTTTGTTTTTTTTTTTAAACTTTTCCAAATTTACTTATTTAAAGGTGTTTCTTGTACAGGAGATAATTATGGTATTTCTTGCGCCATTTTTTTTTGGCCCACCACTACAAAAAAAAATCAGAACTGAACTATATGCCTGAAAGTTCCGAAGTATTCCACCCATCCTCTTTATCTGAGCTGCACAGAGGCTATCTAATACTTCATCCTGGCAAATAAAATTCCTGATCGTCTATTGAAAGCAAGCATGTGGGCAGCATGCTTAGTTTCACAAGTCAAAAGAAAACTGTTCGTAATATAGAAGTTTGGTGACTGAAAAGAAATAATCTCTTTAAAGAAAGTTCTTGTATAAGTCAGGAACATTCCTCAGGAGATACTAAGCACATGAGTTCCCCTCCACTGTTTTTTTTGCAATTAGAAGTACATTCATTTTAGCAGACGCTCACTAGTATTTTCTTGTTTGGTAATTCAGCTTTTTAAAAATACAATAATATTTCAACAGATTAATCTTATTCTTTTGATTCTCAGATTTATATTGCTTTTTCAAGAACGCAGCAATATTCGTAAAGAATACAGTTGCCATTTCTGTAGCGTTAAGCATCCCAACTTACTACTTACAGATAGATACTATAAAATTTCTTCACAATAGCTACAAACTAAACCGCAACTAAAAAACCCTCCTGTGACCAGAAACAGAAAGTTAACAGATTGGCCCAGTTACCATCTTTTTTAGATTAAAGAAAGATTAACTTCGGTTTAAATAGAAACACTCATAAAAAATTGCATGTGATTTCTGAAAAAACTATATAGCTACCGGTACCGTCTATGTAGAAATATTTGCTATGATAACCTACACACGCAGCTGCTAAATTCCCTTATTTCTTGAATTTGACAACTTTTAAGTAATATTAAATATCAATACTTGTTTACATTTACTCCTTTAACGGAAAAAGAGCGAAAACAAGTTTAACAAGCGTTTCATGGACTTGAGGTTCTGTAACTACTGTGCACTGTCTTCCCCCGCTTCACATGCATATTCTTATAAACCACCTCATCTTCACCCAGGAATAATAATTTTCAGGGGGTGTATGACACATTCCCAGAATTAGACCCTGGTATTGGTTTATTTACCACTACTAGTGGTCCAAAGACCAGGCAATAAACCAAACCATTCTCCTACTTGAACTGGCTGTAGAAGAAGAAAGTCAAGTAAAACCTACTTTGGCCAAGAAATTAGGTAATGTTTGGAAGCATTTTTCAGGCTAGCAGCACAATTTAATAACCAATTGGGAAAAGCAATAATGAAGTACTGATCTTCAAAATAATTGTCGCAACTTTAATAATTTAATCAGTATTCAGGGATAGGTTTTATTTTAATTTTGTATTATTTTTGTCAAGAGTGGAAGAGGGAATGGAAGGAAAAGGGAGAAGGCCGGGCATAAAGTGTGTAGGAAAGCATTTCAATAGACAACACTTCAACTCCAGAGTTCTACTTAAAACCAGACATTTTTGGTTTTGTTTTAGAATGTATATAATACAATAACTAGCATGAACTAATTATTGCCTTTACCAATACCAGACCAAACTGGAGAACAATAAAATTGCCAAGAAATACCAGGCATCTATGAACTGGATTGTGCAGCTTATAAACTATTTTTTCAGTTTTATTACAGAAAAATCTATAATCTTTTATTCTACTAAATTTTAATCTTTTATTCTATTGTAACACTTTTTTTTTTAAAATAATGAATGAATTTCTTATATGACTAAGAACCACACAACAAGAATAAAGTATTTTAACTCAGCTATGTAAAATATGACAGTAAGGTGCTTTGTTTTTTCTAAATCTAACACTGCATTTACATAAAAGTGCACTGACAAAAAGGCATTCTTTTCTTTTTAAAGTTAAAAGTTTAAAGACATTTTGTAGTCTCCCTTTTTTTGTTTTAAAAAATAGAAAAGGTCTTGATTCTTATTATGACACTAATTTTCATTTATTGTTCATAGGTGCAAAGATCTGTGCACCACAGAATCTGTTTTAAATGTTTTTCCTGTTATCTTGTTGGTTCAAACAAATTAATTCACAAATAAAGCAAAGTACTCAGTGCACTATCAATAAAACACATCATAAAAAAGTGGATGTTTACCTCCTACCTTGTGACTGTGCAAGTTTCACACAAAAGATTTGTTAAAAAGACCATCTATATAAAAATATTTTATCAATATAAAATAAGCTAAAGAGTAGTTATTTGTAGTATAATCAGATGACAGAAGTGGATTGTGATGAGATCCCAAGTAGTAGTCAAAATTATTTGTTAGGTCAGAGCTCTATATGGCACAGAACTTTTATAAATACACTTGTTGATTTAGGTCAATATATAACAGTTCATCACAGATTAAATTTAAGAGATTTCTTAATTGCACTGTATGATAAAGGCTCATTCCTACAAGGTTTCCATGATGCTTTCCTAACACATGATGAATTAAGTTCTGTATTAACAATGCTTTTTGAGAGTGGCAGAATGCTAATTCAGCAGTTGCACACAGCATGCCCAGAACTCGGATGCTGGTAAAACTCCTAGCTTCAACCGCATTAGCTCCCTGCTCCTAAGTCTAAATGATCATTATACTTAGTGTTGCTAAGTATCCACTTCAAGCTTTCAAAATGGAATGGTTCACATGAAGCTTTCTCAAACAGGAGAAATTCCCACATTAGCCACGATGTATTTATAAAATCTGTAATTGATCAACTACCACTGTCGATTTAACCTACCTTCACTGGTTCTTAATGTAAAGTTCCATTTTCAAATCTTTCAGAAGACATCATTCCTGATACAAAATTTTTAAACTCTGTATTGATGCTACATAACTATTATGTAAGAGTACCTGTACACTAGCATAATTATTTCAGATTTTAACCAATCAGCTTGACTGAGGCCTACAAAATTAAATTATGCAACAGTTAAAGCAATACCTTTAAAAAATGCAAACTAAGGAGCACTACAAACTACAGAAATCAATACATTCAATTAAATTTTAAGTAGTAAAAGAAATTTTCAGAATAGGACTATACAAATTTGATTCATCATCAATAATAGTGTTCATTAAGAAAATACTTCTTGAGGTTTAATAGCTGTGTTACAATAAAACTTCTGGTGTTTAGGAGTGAGTAATGTTTTTCAAGGCAGTTACTATGTACTATATGGTATGCTTTCTTAGCAAGCAGAACAACGGAAAGGAAGTTATGTTTTTTATAACTTAAAATACAAGTTAATTACAATGCGCATTTATTAAGATGTACAGCTTATCCACACCCTGTGGACAACAAAAATGTATTGACGAAATAAAATATCAATAGGAGAGCATAATATGCAAAGAATTAGAATTTCACAGACATTTCATCAATCCCAAATGATGGTAGAGATACAGTAAAATGTCAACGTAATGAGTTTTAGAATAGAGTCACAGAAGGGGTGGTGCGTGTGTATGCATTTTCAAAACCTTCAGTCATTTTTTGATTCATCATGTGAATTTAAAAAAAAAAAAGTTCAACAACAAAAAAACACAAGCCAAAACCCTAAAACCAAGACATTGAGGTAACACTGAATTTCTGACGTAAATCCAGTCCACATAGTACCCTGAATTCATTCTAGTATGCTTGCTAACCAGAGGGCTTCACTGACACCCAATTTTAGACATCTATACAGTTCTATTGTAATAAAATACCATAACAAAATAAAAGTGAGGGAATCCAAGTTTAAAGTTTCATCCTTAATCACTCACCGGGAAAATTATTTGAACACTAACTACATGTTAGCAACCTGCTGTATATAGTTTAAAGATATTCGAATCCTTCAGAAAATAAGCATACATCTTCCACATAAAACCAAACTACACAACCCAGAAGTTGCATCATGAAAAAACCACCATGTTTTGCATTTTCTATCTGTCAGTTCTGAAGTTACCTTATACTCATTTGCAGTAATCCGCTCTGGTTCTTTTCTCTTCTTTTTCCCTTTTTTATCCTTGGTGTGCTGAGTACCAGAGGCCTGATAAGACTGCAGATCCACTCGTGAATGAAACTGGTATCGGCCGCTTTCCACATCACAGTAGTAATAAATTCCAGTTGCTGGATCATAATACAGTTGATTTTCCTTTACAAGAAACATGAAGAACAATGTTATCATTACTTCAGTAAATACATTGTTCAAAGAAACACCCAGTTAATAAAGAACCACATACTAAGTTTAAAAAAAAATATACTCAAACGTACTAAAGAACTGTGGTGGCTTGACCCTGGCTAGCTACCAGGTGCGCACCCGCTCTCTCAATCCCGCTCCTCAACAAGACTGGGGGAGAAAATAAGATGAAAAGCTCATGGGTCAGGATAGAGGCAGGGGTCCTTCCCTTGGGCTGCAGTCCTTCAAGAACTGTTCCAGCATGGGTCCTCCATGGGCCACAGCTCTGGCCAGGGCAACCTGCTCTGCATGGGCTTTCCAAGGGCCACAGCTCCTTAAGGAGCTGCTCCACTGTGGGGTCCTCCATAGACTGCAGTACGGATATCTGCTCCAGTGTGGTCCTCTTCCACGGACTGCTGGGAATTGCCTGCTCTGCTGCTTGGAGAACCTCCTCCCACTCCTTCTTCTTTGACCTTGGCGTTCGCAGGGTTGTTTCTCACACTCCCCCCGCCTTTCTCGCCTGCTCTGCCACATACACACTCCACTGTACAGCGTTTTGCCCTTTCTTAAACACGCTTTCACAGAGGTACCACCAGCTTCTCTGATGGGCTCAGCTGTGTCCTGCAGTGGAACTGGCCATGTGCAGGCAGCCCCTGACCTCTTCTCACAGAGGCTGCCTCTGCAGTGCCCAGTCCCCACTACCAAAACCTTGCCAGTAAACCCAATATAAGAACTTTTCCTGTAGTTCAGAAAATTTCCTGAACAATAAAATACATTCTTTCATGTAATTGTACCATAAACTGTAATCTATAGCCCTAAACATTTATGTATCTAACTATATCCACAAACTATGTCAAAAGCAATGGTATCATTTAAGACTTTTAAAAAATTAAGTCCAGAAGCATCCCTGAAAACAAAATAAGTAGTTTTGTGTACCACATGCACTTTTTTTTAATTGAGTTGATCGTAATGCTGCAAACAAAACCTCTGTTTTCATCACAGTAGTTCCACTGAGATTTGTGACAGTATATATATATCTATATATGCATGTACATATACATGGACCTCACAGGACAAGAAGAAAACCTCCCCAAAAGCTCTCTTATGAAAAACGTACAGCAGAAACTAACCATTATGAAATTCTGATCCACCGTCTGATGTCTTTTTTAAAAAACTATTTTCTTTCCCGTAACATCAAACTAGTTGGTAACCATACTCCAACAAAAGTACAAGTATTTCGTGTATTTTCTCTCAACACGCTTTTGACTGTGGAGAAGCCACTGACTTAGTTCAGCAATCTGTCTTTTTCTAAACAAGTCACCTTTTAGCTCAAGCTTTTAATTTTGGAAGCGTTACAGAGCAGCTTTACAGTATAAAATTTCTACAATTCCAAGCCAGATAAAGATCTAGGAGACATCAAAAAGGACTGAATGAAAATCTAAATTTATATCTTAGCCTGCTATCTTTAATTTGACTGAAATAATTCAACAACTAATTGACAAACTTCCATTACTATTTGTCTTCAGTAACATGTTTTTCAAATCATAAAGTCACCTTGGATCTTAGTTCTTTGCTCACATCAACTTTTACTACTAAAACTTTGCAATAGAGAAAAAATGCCAAGGGTTTTGAAAACGACCCTTACCGAATTATAGTAGAATCCAGTGCTATGGTCATAATACAGTCCTGTATTTTCATCGTAAATAAATCCGGTTTGTGAAACAGCAGCTTCTGCAGCAGCTCTCAAGCTCTCCGCCAAAGAACCCTCTGGTACTGAAGTATCTTCTGCTTCCTGATACCAGAAAGTAAGAAATTGAATTTTCTTCCAAAAAGAACCTCCTTGGTTCTTTAGCATTTTACAATGCCCTATTTTACACAAAAGAAATTAGTGCTCTATGGACTTGGATTGATTCAAGAAATATTAAACAAGGCAAAAATCTAGCTGTAGTTTACTGATAAACTCCTGCTGATTTCAATGGGACCAAGACTTCATCCTATGCCTTCCATTTTCCACAACCTTTATTCAAAAGTGGTTCACGTCAAAAATATACAGAGTGAATATCTTTCTGTACATTTCTCAAATAGATTTTTGCTCTCCATTCCATTTCAGTTGCTAGATGCTAAGGCACGAAAGAGTTAAGCAAGTGAGATGAAGTGAATGATCTAAGAGAAGGCTGGATAGCAGGGAAAAAAACCCCATAACAAAATAAACAAGTAAAACCCCCCAACAACTTTCTTCTCCTTATATGATGCCTCCTTATATCAATGGAGGGAAAAAAAAAGTATTCTTTAGGATAGTCATATTGAACATATTTTGCTGATAAAAAATGCCATGCTTCCAGGCTATGTAGGACATATGTTTTAGAATGTGCTTTTTTTTTAAAAAACAAATCTAGGAGTATGTTATGCTTGGAACATAATACAAAATGAATTCGTTTCAAAGCACAAGGGTGTTGGTCTGCTATCATTAGCACCACACCATCACAAAAATTCATTTCATAAAATGACATCAAGAACAAAAGCACATCTTTTTAATGAAATTAAATATTAACAGAGTGCTGACTTCAAAATTGGTAAAACCCCAAACAGTTCTGTAACCTGTAAATTCTGGATGAACTTTTCCTCTTCTCCACCTTCAGCAACCTCAGTGCTATCCGTCCTTAGAGTAATACTAGCACCTGTGTGCAATTCCTCTGTGGAATTATGCTCAGTGCCTTCAGTCCCATGATTGTGCTGCACTGGCAGTTCAGATGCACAATCTTGAGTATCAATATGATTGTAATAATTTTCATAGTAGTAATAATCTGCAGGGGGAGAAACAAAAAGTTGAAGTTGCATAAATTAGGAAAGCAGTATTTTACACAATGCAGTCTAAGGATTCTAAATCTTAAATTGGAAATTTATGTATATAAGCAGTCTAATGAAATTCAGTTATTAGGAAGTGCCTCCGCTTCACATTTATTCCACTCCTACTGTACTTTAAAAATTGGTAAAACATGTGTGTGTAATGTACAAGATTACTATGTAACAGATACTATTCTGTAGCATGAATTCTGCTACAGTCCATGCTACATTTTATTCTAAAAGGAATGGCTTAAATACATAGGAAATAGTCCAAAAGACAATGTCACGTTATTGAGTTTAATGCAGCTAGGGATACAGACTTGAAATGTATTTTATATTAAAAGATTTTCAAAATAAGATACTGTTCTAGATGTCTGTTTAAGCAATCACCACGCTCTCTACCTCCTTGTGACCACGCAGCATAGTCCTCTGTCTGTACTTCTACGCTAGATGTATCCTTCTCCTTCCTACTATGGACTTCCTTAGTGAGCTCTTCAACCTGAAAGAAAAACAGCGTGTTACAGAATACAACACTGCATTTTAGGGGTTGACTTCAGGAAAGAATATCAGCCTATTTTACATTCTATTATTCAAACAAAACATAACTGCATCATAGCTATTTCAGTTGATCTTTGTTTTGCAGGAGACAAATGGTTGGCATAACGAAAAACATAATTTCTGCTCACAAAGGGTATAATAATAAAAGCAAGCACTTGGGAGGAAAAAGAAAAACTTAACAAGTTTTAACAAGAAAAGAAAAAGAAAAACTTAACAAGGGTTATTTTTAAGATGCCCACCCTGAAAAGTTGAACTTCAAGCAATAACTACTGTTCTGTGGTGACGAACTGTGGCACTTAGGTAACTTCCCTGTTTTGCCATAAGCATCCGAGGGGCAGTTCTTACACTCTTCCTTCACCTCACCATGTTTATTAAGCTTCTTTCCTTCTGCTAAATACAGTTTTTCCTTCTGACTGCGAAACCAGCTTTGTGGCTGAGAAGATGCTACCATTCGCTCCCCCCACACACCTGGCGGGCACCCACCCTGGGGGCCAAACCGTTGCCCCGGGACAGCAAACGGGAGCCAGCAGCCGCAGGACCTTCTCTGGCCGCCGAAGTCCCGCAGGCCAGGAGAGCCCGGCGGGCTCCGGGAGGCACAGGACCAGCCCGCCCCATGAGCTCAGCCCGAGCGGAGGGAGCACGCCGCGGGGGGGTCGGCAAGCGGGGAGGGGGGCCAAGGGGTACCCAGTCGGAGGTGACGGCAGCGGGGACGCCTGA